AACCCTAATGTAAACTATGAACTTTGGGTGATAATGATGTGTCAACATAGGTTCATCAATTGTAAAAATCTACCACTGTGTTATAGGATGTCAATTGTTGGGGGGGTTGTGCATGTGTGAGGACCTGGGGTATTTGAGAATGCTCTGTACTTTCTGCTCAATTTTGCTGTAAACCTAAAACTGCTCTAAAAATAAAGTTTATTAATTAAAAAAAAGTTCAAAATGTGACAGTAGCAACTTATCTAATTCTTTTGTTATGTAGAATTCTATTACATGGGTTACTATGATTTATTTAACCAGCCCCCTATATTTAAGGGTTTTTCATCAATTTTTCATCTTTATCATTAATTCCACAGTGATCAGTACTATATATCCAGCTTTAAGTATTTCTACACAATAGATTCACAAAAATGTAGTGGCTAGGTCAAAGAGTCTGGACGTTTAAAATATTTATAGATATACAATGTTTATAGATATACAAAATGCTTTCCAACAATACTGACCCAGTGTATGATCCTACCACAGTGTTGAGTAGCTGTTTCTCTGCACACTTGCCAACCCTGGAAATGCCAATATTTTGAATCTTTACCAATCTGATAGGTCAAATGAAATATTTTGATTTGTATTTCTTTGGTTATTAATGAGGCGGAGTATCTTTCATACATTTACTAACCATTTGGGTTTTGTTGTTGTTGTTTTTTTTTTAAAGATTTTATTTATTTATTTGACAGAGAGAGAGACAGCGAGAGAGGGAACACAAGCAGGGGGAGTGGGAGAGGGAAAAGCAGGTTTCCCCGCGGAGCAAGGAGCCTAATGCGGGGCTCGATCCCAGGACCCCGGGATCATGACCTGAGCCTAAGGCAGACGCTTAACGACTGAGCCACCCAGGCGCCCCCATTTACTAACCATTTGTATATTCTCATATCCTTTGTCCATTTTTCTAATGTCTTGTTGGTCTTATTGATTTGTAAGAATTCTTTTTTGTATTAAGTAAAGTCTTGTCGGTCATATGTGTTGCAAATATATCTTCCCAATTTGTTTTTTTAAAGATTTTATTTTATTTTTTTAAGGATTTTATTTATTTGAGAGAGAAAGGGAGAGGGAGAGGGAGAGGGACGCCTGGGTGGCTCAGCTGGTTGGGCGTCTGCCTTTGGCTCAGGTCATGATCTCAGGGTCCTGGGATGGAGTCCCGCATCAGGCTCCTTGCTCGGCAGGGAGCCTGCTTCTCCCTCTGCCTGCCGTTCTCCCTGCTTGTGCTCTCCACTCTCTCTTCTCTGACAAATAAATAAATAAAATCTTTAAAAGAGAAAAAAAAAAAAAGAAAGTGAGAGGGAGAGAGCACGAGATGGGGGAGGGTCAGAGGGAGAAGCAGACTCCCTGCTGAGCAGGGAGCCTGATGCAGGACTCAATCCTGGGACTCCCAGGATCATGACCTGAGCCAAAGGCAGTCACTTAATCAACTGAGCCACCCAGGCGCCCCAATTTGTTGTTGTTTTTAAGATTTATTTATTTATTTTAGAGAGAGAGCAAGTGAGCAGGGGGATGGGCAGAGGAAGAGAGAGAGAGAGGGAAAGAATCTCAAGCAGACTTCCCGCTGAGTGTGGAGCCTGACACGGGGCTCCACGCAAGGCTCGATACAATGACCCCAAGATCAGGACCTGAGTCAAAGCCAAGAGTAGGATACTTACCTGACTGCACCACCCACGCACCCCTGTTTTTTAATCTTTATTTATGGTGTTTTATGCTTTGCAGGTTTTAAAGTTTTTTTATGTAGTTGAATTTATGTCTTTTTGCTCTTAGAGCTTCTTGGTTTTGAGCCACGCTTACAAAAGCCTCACCCATTTTTTTCATATACTATTTTTATGGGTCTATTATATCTTTGGTACATTTCAATGTATTTTTGGAGTAAGAATGAGGTAGTACATCATCTTTATTTTTCCAGCTGGCTAGCTAGTTTTCCAGACACCTTTACTAGACAATGTTATCTTTTCTCTACTGATTTCAAAATGCTACCTTTACCAAAATCTAAATTGTTGTATGCACTTGGTTTATTTCCAAACTTTCTATTCTGCTCCTTTTTTTTTTTTTTTTTTAAGTAGGCTCCGCGCTCAACTTGGGGCTTGAACTCATCACCCTGAGATGAAGAGTTGCATGTTCTACCGCCATCCAGGCACCTCTGCTTCTTCTTATTTTAATTACCATATCATACTTTTAAAATTGTAACCTTATAATTGTTTTAATATCTAGTAGAGCTAGATTTCCCTCTAATCTATTTTTTATACCTTTCCCAGACACTCTTGCATGTTTTTACTTAGACAAATCTTTTTTTTTCAAAGATTTTATTTATTTATTTGAGAGAGAGAGATAGCAAGAGAGAGCATGAGCAGGGGCTAGGGGGAGAAGCAGGCTCCTCACTGAGCAGGGAGCCCGATGTGGGGCTCGATCCCAGGACCCTGGGATCATGACCTGAGCTGAAGGCAGACGCTTAACTGACTGAGCCACCCAGGAGCCCCTACTTAGACGAATCTTTAAGATCATTTTTTCAACTATTCTAAAAGTACTATGGGGTTTTAAAATCAGGATTGCTACAGGGGCACCTGGCTGGCTCAGTTGGTAGAGTACGCAACTCTTGATCTCAGGGTTGTAAGTTCAAGCCCCATGTTGGGTGTAGAGATTACTTAAAAATAAAACCTCAAAAAAAGAAAATAAAATCAGAATTGCTGTAAATTTATAAATCAATTTAGGAGTAATCAACACCTTTGCAAAATTCAATCTCTTGATGTCTCTCTGGAAAAAATTAGTTTCCCTAATATAGGTTTTACACAATTTCTTCATTAATATAGTAATTCATGGCACCTATAATGTGCAAGGCACTGTTTAAGATGTTAGACATAAAAAATAAAGTTCCTGTTTTGGTGGAGCTTACAGTCTAGTGGGAGAAAAAGAACAGTATTTTAAAAAACAAATAAACATATAATATGACAATTGGTGACAAGTGCTATAAAGAAAATAAAGCTGGGGGCGCCTGGGTGGCTCAGTCAGTTAAGTGTCCGACTCTTGATTTTGGCTCAGGTCATGATCTCAGGGTCATGAGATCAAGCCCTGCATTAGGCTCCACGCTCAGCAGGGAGTCTGCTTGAGATTCTCTTTCTCTCTCTCCCTCTCTCCTCCCTCCTCCGTGTGTGTGTGCGTGCACGCACTCTCTCAAATAAATACATCTTTAAAAAAAGAAAAGAAAGCTGGATAAGAGGATAGAGAATAAAGGGAGAAAAATGCTATTTTATATAGAGTGGTCAGGGAAGGCCTTTCTGATAGGTGAAACTTGATCAGAAACTTAAAGGAGGTGAACAAACCAGCCATGTGAATATCAGGGCATTACAGGATGTAAGTACAAAGCCCTAAGGCTCAAGCATGATTGGTTTATTTGAGAAACAGCAAGGAAGCTGGTGTGACTGAAGTGCAGGTGTTAAGATCTGAGTGGTAACTAGAAGCCAGCTTATGTAACTCCTTACGGGTCATGGAAGGACTTTGAATTTTATTCTAAGTGGGTTTAAAAGCCACTGGGAGGTTTTATTTTTTATTTTTAAAAAAGATTTATTTATTTTATATACATATAGAGAGAGAGAGTGTGTGCACAGGGTGGGGGACAGAGGGAGAGGGAGAGAAGCAGACTCCCTGCTGAGTGTGGAGCCAGAGCCCAATGTGGGGCTTGATCCCATGACCCTGAGACCATGACCTGAGCCAAAATCAAGTCGGACACTCAACTGACCGAGCCACCCAGACACCCCATCACTAGGAGGTTTTAAAGAAAGAAGCGTCCTGTCTCATTTATTCTTTTAGATGATCACTGTCATTTCTATACGGAGAATAGGGGAATGAAAGTGGAAGCAGGGAGACCAGTTACATCCAGGAGAGAGATGGTGGTAGCTTGGGCTAGGACGGTAGTGGTGAGGGTTTTGTGTGGTCAGAACACAAAGAAGTAAGCTAGGGATCTCTTCTATCCACAGGCATTTGCCAATCTAGAGGTGCTCCTTAAGTGAGGGTAGCAGATGAGACAATGAGTTAGTGACCTGAAGCTACCAGAAAGGTAGACCCTAGACCCTGGATAACTTCTCTCTCTCTCTCATCCTCTCTCTCTCTCTGTCACACACACACACACACACACACAAAACAGTGGACAGGCAAGCAGTGCTTATGAGTGGGAATTGGGAACCAAAGAGATGGAGCTCAGTTGGAGGTGAGTACCAGCGAAAGGGGGACTCCTAGGGCCACACAGACCCTGTTCTGGAGACAGAACTCAGAGAACTGCACTCTGGAAATGGGGACACAAAAAATCCTCAAGCATTGCTTCCAGACTGCTAATGCCTTCAGGTGAGCCATCAGGTGCCTGGTGGGAGATTTGAAAGAGGGGAGAAACCCACAGAGGTTAGCGAAGCATGCAGGCATGCTTTTATCCTCACGGTGTCTGCCTAGTTCCAAGAGGCATCTGAGAAGCTGAGTTGCTTCATGGAGCTAGGTGTACAAGAGTTGGAATCTGGGGTAAACTATTCCCGGCTTTGGGCTTGGAAACTAGAGGATTACACTCCAGGAGTAAGGATGACCCAGAATTAAATCAGTCTTCATTAAGTCTACATTTCGACTTTGTCATTTAAACAGCTCAGAAAACATCAAGGTTTAAGCTTGGATTAAGGTAATCCCACACTTAGTACCCCCAGGCACCTGGAGAGGAGCAAACAAATCTTTTCTAGGAAAAGAGAATATTGCAGACTTCAAATTATTTCTATAAATAATTTTCAAATATAACATCCAACACATGATTAAAGGTAACCAGATCCATAGTGAGAGACAACACACAATGAGCAAGAACCATCAGAAACCATAGACAATAGAAACAGACTCACTAGGATGCTAGATACTGAGAAAAGCCTTATTTAAACATTTCTGTAGGAAATAGAAATTAGAAAAGTGATAGTACAGTTTTGAAAATTAACTAGGGGCACCTGGGTGGCTCAGCTGGTTAAGTGTCTGCCTTCAGCTCAGGTCATGGTCCCAGGGTCCTGAGGTTGAGCCCCACATCAGGCTTCCTGCTTAGCGGGGAGCCTCCTTCTCCCTCTTCCTCTGCTGCTCTCCCAGCTTGTGCTCTCTCTTTCTGTCAAATAAATAAATAAAATCTTTAAAAAAAGAAAACAAACCAACTAGAAATTATAGAAGTGAAAATTATAACCAAAATTAAGATCTTGGTAGATAGGTTTCAGAGTAGATTAAACACAGCTAAAAACAGAATCAATTAACCAGAAGAGAAACTAAAGGAAATTGTTCAAATGAATCTATTTTTTCAACTGCAGACCCAGGAGCCAGAAGATAATAGAAAGAGATATATATTTTTTAAAGATTTATTTATTTATTTGTTTGACAGAGAGAGAAAGAGCACAAGCAAGGGGGGGGGCAACAGGCAGAGAGAGAGGGAGAGGGAGAAGCAGGCTCCCCGCTGAGCAGAGAGCCCGGACGTGGGGCTTGATCCCAGATCCCAGGACTCTGGGATCATGACCCCAGCCAAAGGCAGACACCCAACCGACTGAGCCACCCAGGTGCCCCTAGAAAGAGATCTTTAAAGTATTAAAAGAATACTTTCAATGCCAACTTAGTTACACCAATTCTCTACAGGTGAAAATCTCTTTCAAAATTGAAGCAAAATATGGGAAACACAGAAAAAAAGAGCAAGGTAGCTTTATTCATAATTGCCAAACCATGGAAGCAACCAAGATGTCCTTCAAAAAGTGAATGGATAAATAAACTGGTACATCCAGGGGCGCCTGGGGGGCTCAGTCAGTTAAGTGTCTGCCTTCAGCTCAGGTCATGATTCCGGGGTCCCAGGATCGAGTCCCGTGTCGGGCCCCCTGCTCAGCAGAGAGTCTGCTTCTCCCTCTGACCCTCCCCCTTTCTCGTGCTCTCTCTCTCTCTGCCTCTCTCAAATAAATAAATAAAAATCTTAAAATAAATTAATTAAAATTTAAAAAATAAACTGTGGTACATCCAGATGACAATGGAATATTATTCAGTGTTAAAAAATGAAATGAGCTATCAAGCCACAAAAAAGACATGGAAGAATCTTAAATGTATATTACTAAGTGAAAGAAACCAATCTGAAAAGGCTACATACTGTATGAATCCAACAACATACATGACATTCTGGAAAAGGCAAAACTATGGAGACAGTAAAAAGATCAGTGGTTGCCAGGAGCTTGGGGGAGGGATAGATGAATAGGTGGAACACAGAGGATTCTTTAGAGCAGTGAACTATTCTTTTTTTTTTTAATTTTTAGTAATCTCTACACCCAACGTGGGGCTTGAACTCACGACCCCAAGATTAAGAGTTGGATGCATAACCGATTGAGCCAGCCAAGCACCCCTAGAGCAGTGAACTATTCTATATAACATATAATGGAGGATACATGTCATTACACATTTGTCAAAAACCATAGAATACACAACACAAAGAATGAACCCTAACATAAACTATGGCCTGCTACAACATGGGTGAATCTTGAAGACATTATGCCAAGTGAAAGAAGCCAGTCACAAAGGACCACATATTATACAGTTCCATTTATATGAAATGTCAGACAGGAATTGTGAGGAAGAGGGGCACCTGGGTGGCTCAGTTGGTTATGCATCCAGCTCTTGGTTTTGGCTCAGGTCATAATCTCAGGGTCATGGAATCGAGCCCCACATTGGCCTTCATGCTCGGCAGGGGGTCTGTTTGAGATTCGCTCTCTCCCTCTCCCTCTGCCCCTCCCCCCCCAACTCGTGCATGCACTCTCTCAAATAAATAAATAAATAAATATTTAAAGGAATTGTGAGGAAGAGAGGAGCTTCTTCAGGGTACCAGAAGTAGTAAAACATGATAACATCACTTAGAGTTCATACTCAGGAGAAAGTCACACCTTGACTAAGTAAATACTAAGAACAGGTTTGAGACCTGGTGGATTTGAACACTAAGAGTCAAAAGGAAGGTGCCTCAAAACTGCACTGAACAAGAGGCTTAAGAAAGAAGGCAGTAACTTGGAAGGGAGAAGTATCTATTGGAGGAATAGCATCACAGAATCAGAAGTTCAAATGACCCTTCCCCCCAAAAGCACCATTTATTAAAGAAACTGTACTTCATCATGTCAACAGAAGAGGGTGCTCTTGAACCAATAAACCAAATAAGGCATCCAAACTTTTCCCCCATTGCATCAACTATTATTGCTGAACCAAGAACTCCTACAACAGTTTATAACGACTAGAAAAAGGAACCCAACATCCACACAAAGCTATTATAAGAAAAAAAATGAGTTAAATATATTAAACAAGCAATTACAGATGTGAAAGAATACTATGAATCAGAAATTCAAAAACTCAAAATAGAAACAAACAGGAAAATGTGAACTGGGTGCTGACTGAACTCAGGAAAAAAAATTGAAGAAAAAGACAAAATCATCTCAGAAGACCAAATTATGAAGTAGCCAAAGGAGAATGGATATGATCGAATAATACAGGAAAGGAAAGAAAGAATGACAATGAAAAAGAGCCAGGAGAACCAAAACAAAATAAAGAGGTAAAGAGGAAACTGCTAGATATAATATATCTGAATCTCTTAAAAAGAAAAAGCAGATTGGGGCGCCTGGGTGGCTCAGCTGGTTAAGCAACTGCCTTCAACTCAGGTTACGATCCTGGAGTCCCATTATCGAGTCCCACACTGGGCTCCCTGCTTAGCAGGGAGTCTGCTTCTCCCTCTGACCTCTCCCCTCTCATGCTCTCTCTCTCTCAAATAAATAAATAAAATCTTTAAAAAAAAAAAAAAAAGAAAAGAAAAAGCAGATAATGAACAGAAGTAACATTTTTTAATTAAAATCTCAACAAAACTTTCTAGAGTAAAAGAGCACCTGATTCGACATATTTAAAGAGTCCATTTTAGGGGCTCCTGGCTGGCTCAGTCCATGGAGCATGTGACTATTGATCTCGGGGTTGTAAGTTCGAGTCCCACATTGGGTGTACAGATTACTTAAAAAGAAAATTTTTTAAAAAATTAAAAATGAGGGGCGCTTGGGTGGCTTAGTTGGTTAAGCGACTGCCTTCGGCTCAGGTCATGATCCTGGAGTCCCTGGATCGAGTCCCGCATCGGGCTCCTTGCTCGGCAGGGAGTCTACTTCTCCCTCTGACTCTCCCCCCTCTCGTGTGCTCTCTCTCATTCTCTCTCTTTCAAATAAATAAATAAAATATTTAAAAAAAAATTAAAAATGAATAAAGAGTCCATTTTATAACTGGGAAAACTGACCATCAACTCTGAGACACAGTCTAATAAAACAGACATTAATGATAAAGAAAAAAATCCTTTGGATCTACAGGCAAAAAGGACAAAAAACTGAAAACAAGTGACCTACAAAAAAGAAAATCCAGTGGCATCAAACCACTTGATAGGATTATATGAAGTAAGACAAGAGTGAAGAAACACTTTAAAGAAACTCAAGTAAAAAAATTGTGTGCCACAGATTTTAGTTTTAAACTTTCAAGAACTGAAGATATTTTGTATTCAAGAACTCTTTCTGAGGATTCTACCAGGGGTCAAGTTTCATCCAACTAAGAGAGGATTGGAAATTTTTGGCAAAAGAATAGATAATGAGAATTGAATAGGTTTAATTATAAATCTAAGACTAAAACAAATACGAGAATCAAGAGTTGAAGAATGCTCTCTGACAAAGTAGAACTACAACCCAAAAAGGAAGTGAAGGAGAAATGTAGAAGTAACTCAGTGATTGCCATATAGGCCATAGGTGGGAGTCAAAGGATATCATTTTTTTTTAAGATTTATTGTTTTATTTGAGAGGGAGAGTAAGCACACAAGCCAGGGTGTGGGGGAGGTGGCAGACGGAGAGGGAGTGAAAGAATCTCAAGCAGGCTCCACGCCCAGCTGCATGAGAGGCTTGACTCGGGGCTCCATCTCAAGACCCTGAGATCATGACCTGAGCTGAAACCAAGAATCAGACATTCAACCGACTGAGCCACCCAGGAGCCCCTCAAAGGATATCATTTTAAACTAGCAAACCAAATAGTAGAAACCTAGGTAGTGAGGAAAATGGGGACGAATAGCTGAGATCCTTAGGAATTCCAGTATAGACCACCCCATCTATCCTAGCTGATGGCTTCACTGAAGCTTCCTTATGCTCTGACCCTTGAGGTAGCGCTGAAAGTATTTCAAGCATTCAACAAGCTCCGTGCTAGACAACCTCTCTCGCCCTTCTCTCCCGCCAGCCTAGGCCATTCATTACATAACACTTCTCAATTCTGTTTTGCAATCCTATGGTGACACTCCTTCTCTCTCACATTCTCAACCCACAAAAAAAAGAACACTGTACCTGCCTGCTTTGCCAGTGGCCCCACTTCTAGCCAGAGACTCCAGCTTCCACGGAGCCTGCCAAGGGGCTTCCAGAGCAGCTTTATTTATACAGATTTGCACAACCCATTTGTCTGTAGGCAGAAGAGTGCTGAAATTTAAAGTTTTTTAAAAATCCTAAGCTGTGATTTTATTTGAGAGAGAGAGAACGAGCAGAGCGACAAGCAGACTTCCCACTGAGCAGGGAGCCCGATGCGGGACTTGATCCCAGAACCCTGGGATCATGACCTGAGCCGGAGGCAGACGCTTAACCCACTGAGCCACCCAGCCACCCCAGCTGTAACTGTTTTCTTTAGGCCATACCCAGTTGCTTGCTAAGCAAGCCATAAAAGCAGACAGGAGGTAGATAGTTCAGGAAAAAAAAATGAAAGATAATGCTGGTTTTTTTGTTTGAGGTCAATGTTTCTTATCATATTAAGGCAATACCCATCTATTCCTGTTTCAGTAAGGTTTTATAAAATACAAGGAAATTCTCAGATGTCTTTTTAGGCATATATCAAGAGGATCATGTTTTCTACCTTTTCCCTACTAATATAATAAATATTATAATATTAATATATTTCATTATACTGAAGCACCTTCACATTTCTAACATAAATTCCATGTGGTCATGGTTAGTATGTGATGGCATTCTTTTGTTAGTATCTTATTAGAGTTTTTTTTTTTTTTTAAAGATTTTATTTATTATTTGACAGAGAGAGAGAGAGAGCACATGA